TGGGGCAATATTAAATTCGGAAAAATATTAAATTTTACCACATTGCTTCAATGTGAAGTGTCTTCAAAAAATACCCGCACCGATACATTGTATCAAGTCACCTACTTACACTTTATTCACCTGTTCTTGCGCCTGTTATAGGCACTCTGATAACTATCTGTATGGTCACATATACTTAACTTCTCCCCGCTCTTATCTATTCTGCACCTCACTTATCCTGCACTCGGCAGCTCTGCTCTCGGCAGCTCTGCTCTCAGCTACTCCGCACACAGCAACTTCCCACCCAGCGACTCCGCACACAGCGACTCCGCACACAGCGACTCCGCACCCAGCGACTCCGCACTCAGCTACTCCGCACACAGCGTCTTCGCACTCGGCGACTCCGCACACAGCAGCTTCGCAACCAGCGAACTCCGCACTCAGCGACTCCGCACACAGCGTCTTCGCACTCAGCGACTCCGCACTCAGCGACTCCGCACACAACGTATTCGCACTCAGCGACTCCGCACACAACGTCTTTGCACTCAGCGACTCCGCACACAGCGTCTTCGCACTCAGCGATTCTACACACAGCAGCTCTGCACTCAGCGACTCTGCACACGACAACTTCGCATCTCCACCGCTGCCCTTACCTACGCTCCCTGAGACCCGCTCACCCGGCTGTCCCGGGTGGGGGGTTCAGCCAACACCCGCCCGGCGACGACGTGAGGGCTGAGGTCCCGTTGACGGCTGGAGCGGCAGCGGCGAGATGTCTTCACTCTTGGTTCCCGGCAACAACTCCCCTCGCTCACACACACTCCCTCTTATATCCCCCTGCTCATCCTGAGTCTTCACTTGCTACTACTTAAGCTGCTGCGAGGCCGGCGCCAGTTGTCCCATTAATTTCTTATCATCACCCGCTATCTCCCGTCTCCTAGGCGCCAACCTGTTCGACCTCGGTTGCACCCGCTTCTCCCCTTAATTACTGGCGGTTTGTCTGTGCAAACCTCATGTTACAACACGCACGTATGTTCGACCTCAGTTGCACCCGCTTAACTGTGCGCACTGCGTATTTCTCTCCTCTACAAATGTAACAGTTTGGTGTAGCTGCCCCTTCTCTATACGTAGATCCTTTTGATAGTTTCTCTTTGCAAGACTGGTATGAGAATGGCAGCCAAAATAAGGAACAAGGCCAAGAGCATGACCACCATGGAGATGGAAGTGATGAGAATCGACTCAAGTTTGAGAGAAAGATGGATTATGGCATCCGGAAAACGTGACAGATTGTGACGACGTTATTCATTCAGGAGTAGGTCGGTCATGGTTGATGATAAAAATCAAAAGCACACTTCAGATATCTCAAGAAAGTTGGGTACATACTTACTCTTTGGTTTTTTCGGTAAAGTCACGTGGCTTTACCGACTTTACCGAAAAAACCAAAGAGTGAATCTTGCAGTCACGAAAGCTTCAAATCTAGAATTGGGTACATGCTATAAGTGCATTCGCAAGGCAACTGCACCTCCAAATTTCCCTAATTTTACCAGATGTCTTATAAAAAATTTGACTCTCGCTTTCAATCACCATCCACTCAAATGGGTTTCTTAAAACAAGTGCAGGCACTGACCTGTTGAGTATGTATACACCAACGTGCACATTACTGAATAAATACAGTGAGGGAAAAGTATTTGATCCCCTGCTGATTTTGTACGTTTGCCCAGTGACAAAGAAATTATCAGTCTATAATTTTAATGGTGGGTTTATTTGAACAGTGAGAGACAGAATAACAACAACAAAATCCAGAAAAACGCATGTCAAAAATGTTATAAATTGATTTGCATTTTAATGAGGGAAATAAGTATTTGACCCCTCTGAAAAAACATGACTTAGTACTTGGTGGCAAAACCCTTGTTGGCAATCACAGAGGTCAGACGTTTCTTGTAGTTGGCCACCAGGTTTGCACACATCTCAGGAGGGATTTTGTCCCACTCCTCTTTGCAGATCTTCTCCAAGTCATTAAGGTTTCGAGGCTGACGTTTGGCAACTCGAACCTTCAGCTCCCTCCACAGATTTTCTTTGGGATTAAGGTCTGGAGACTGGCTAGGCCACTCCAGGACCTTAATGTGCTTCTTCTTGAGCCACTCCTTTGTTGCCTTGGCCGTGTGTTTTGGGTCATTGTCATGCTGGAATACCCATCCGCGACCCATTTTCAATGCCCTGGCTGAGGGAAGGAGGTTCTCACCCAAGATTTGACGGTACATGGCCCCGTCCATCGTCTCTTTGATGCGGTGAAGTTGTCCTGTCCCCTTAGCAGAAAAACACCCCCAAAGCATAATGTTTCCACCTCCATGTTTGACGGTGGCGATGGTGTTCTTGGGGTCATAGGCAGCATTCCTCCTCCTCCAAACACGGCGAGTTGAGTTGATGCCAAAGAGCTCCATTTTGGTCTCACCTGACTACAACACTTTCACCCAGTTGTCCCCTGAATCATTCAGATGTTCATTGGTAAACTTCAGACGGGCATGTATATGTGCTTTCTTGAGCAGGGGGACCTTGCGGGCGCTGCAGGATTTCAGTCCTTCACGGCGTAGTGTGTTACCAATTGTTTTCTTGGTGACTATGGTCCCAGCTGCCTTGAGATCATTGACAAGATCCTCCCGTGTAGTTCTGGGCTGATTCCTCACCGTTCTCATGATCATTGCAACTCCACGAGGTGAGATCTTGCATGGAGCCCCAGGCCAAGGGAGATTGACAGTTCTTTTGTGTTTCTTCCATTTGCGAATAATCGCACCAACTGTTGTCACCTTATCACCAAGCTGCTTGGCAATGGTCTTGTAGTCCATTCCAGCCTTGTGCAAGTCTAAATCTTGTCCCTGACATCCTTGGAGAGCTCTTTGGTCTTGGCCATGGTGGAGAGTTTGGAAACTGATTGATTGATTGCTTCTGTGGACAGGTGTGAGATTAGGGGCACTCCCTTTAAGAGTGTGCTCCAAATCTCAGCTCGTCACCTGTATAAAAGACACCTGGGAGCCAGAATTCTTTCTGATTGAGAGGGGGTCAAATACTTATTTCCCTCATTAAAATGCAAATCAATTTATACAATTTTTGGCATGCGTTTTTCTGGATTTTGTTGTTGTTATTCTGTCTCTTACTGTTCAAATAAACCTACCATTAAAATTATAGGCTGATCATTTCTTTGTCAGTGGGCAAACGTACAAAATCAGCAGGGGATCAAATACTTTTTTCCCTAAGTGTAAGTGCGCAGAGACACACGGGATGTGGATTCTCACTGAGCCATTCGGACAAAACCCCACGCGACTCGTGTGACTTCTACGATACCGCCGAATAACTGTGGGAGTCGTTGGTTATCGTGTTTGTTTGGAGGTACTTCGTTGGTTGCGGTGGGGAGGGGGAAATGTGCAGAGTGGCGTTTCCCAGGTTCTTTGGAAGGACAGGTGCATCCGGATGTTCCCAGGAGGCCGTGGCATGTGTGGAGAGAGAGAGAGACGGCTTCGTACTCTGGGCGAAATATCCACGCACAACAGTTTCTCACCTCGCATCCGTTTTGTTTGCGTACACACGATGTCTGCACTATGACTAATTTGCCTCGGGAGTCCTATCCTCCCAAGGCTTAACAATGCCAACCATTGGTCTAAGTGTAACATGTGCACAGAGTGATACACGTACGATGCTGTAATGAAGTATGTTTGTTTTGTGAGGTTTTATTTATTTAACTACATACTTGTGTAATATGTAATCATTTGAGTGTTTTTCCCTGTGCCTCGACATAAGAGAAGGGAACACATTTGTCTCACCTCTACTCTTTCTAAAACTGGAATTCTGTTGTAAATTATATTGTTTTTCCGGCTGCCCTTTTTCGTTTCCATTACCAATGGAAAATCATTTACTCTACCTTACCAACCTTGGGCCGCTCTTCAGCTCAAGTCTAAAAATGGGCACAGTTCATTGTGAGATACCATTAACATTGCGTGTCAACCAGCTGTTAATACATATACATAAAAACATCAGAAATACATTGACTCGTAATAATGTAGTATTAAATCACAAGTAATAATAATGGTGCCATTTTCTCAAAGTATGTCATCTGTGTACGTCATGTGTTATTTTTTTTCCTGGCAAGAACTCTGTCGGCAGTTAGTTGATAATACGTAAAAAATATATATTCCCCGGCCCGTGCGTACGTGCATTACACGTGACCATGCAATAATTAAAAAAAAACATAACAGAAAAATTAAACCACTCATACCTCATCCAACTGATTACCACCCACGCATGTATAGAATCTCATGAATCATGCTGGTCATTCTACATATATCATACAAAGAATTGGCTACTGTCCCAAGCATGAGAGTGCACGAACAAACTACCATTATATGTCTACCATTATTGTTGCGTACGTTTCCCTAGCAGCACCTATGGGTTTTTTTACATGCATACAGTGAGGGAAACAAAGTATTTGATCCCCTGCTGATTTTGTACGTTTGCCCACTGACAAAGAAATGATCAGTCTATAATTTTAATGGTAGGTTTATTTGAACAGTGAGAGACAGAATAACAACAGCAAAATCCAGAAAAAACGCATGTCAAAAATGTTATAAATTTATTTGCATTTTAATGAGGGAAATAAGTATTTGACCCCTCTGAAAAAACATGACTTAGTACTTGGTGGCAAAACCGTTGTTGGCAATCACAGAGGTCAGACGTTTCTTGAAGTTGGCCACCAGGTTTGCACACATCTCAGGAGGGATTTTGTCCCACTCCTCTTTGCAGATCTTCTCCAAGTCATTAAGGTTTCGAGGCTGACGTTTGGCAACTCGAACCTTCAGCTCCCTCCACGGATTTTCTATGGGATTAAGGTCTGGAGACTGGCTAGGCCACTCCAGGACCTTAATGTGCTTCTTCTTGAGCCACTCCTTTGTTGCCTTGGCCGTGTGTTTTGGGTCATTGTCATTTTTTCCCTCTCTGTATATATAACAAAAACTACTCTACCCCACTATTTGCAGCACGCAAGCTTAAGAAGCAAGGCCGGGTAAAGGGAGAGAACCAGCGCAGCCCAGCGTCCTCCACAGCCACCACCTCGTCTGCCACCCCGCAACCCTCCAGCAACTCGACGGCCGTGACCACGTTCTCGCCACCGCCGACCGGAGAGCCCATTTTCTCACCCACACTCATCGCCATCCTGCAGGCGATCGAGCCCGAGGTGGTCATGTCCGGCTATGACAACACGCGGTCCCAGACCACCGCCTACATGCTGTCGAGCCTCAACCGCCTCTGCGACAAGCAGCTCGTGTCCATTGTCAAGTGGGCCAAGTCTCTGCCAGGTACTGGCGGGGTGGAGGGGAGTGGCCCTATGCTTGTGTGTTTTCGCTTCGCTTGAACCCCGGTGCTGTGAAGCAACGCCAGTCTTCCCTGTCCTGCTTGGAGCGTGTTGATTGTGCGTACATATGTATGCATGTTGAACTTCTTTCGCACCTTGCATAGCCAACCGTGCTAATATACCGCAGAAGCATGCAAAACAAAATTTCGTTAATTCAGCTGTATTTGATCATGCCACTGTTGCAAGGGCTATCATTAAGCGCCCTAACATCAGGCCCCCAGAGTTTTGGCATTAAATCGTCCTTCTAACGCTTGGATTGGTTCATGTTTGTCCCACAGGTTTCCGAAACCTGCACATCGACGACCAGATGGTGTTAATCCAGTACTCATGGATGGGCCTGATGTCATTTGCCATGAGCTGGAGGTCCTTCCAGCACACCAACAGCAAGCTGCTCTACTTTGCTCCTGATCTGGTTTTTGATGAGTAAGCATTCTTTACTCGACAGTGTCCGTTGAAACTACGAGCTCGCCGATCCCATGAATGATGTCGCTTAGACGGGTATTCTGCACGTGTTCAATACCGAAGTCGTACGCAAAGGCGCCTTATACATTTTCAGGACCGCACGGTTCCTTAATTGTGCTGCAGGTTTTTATGAATTTTGTTTTCCTAGAGTATGCTCAGAGCAAGATTGCCCTGCAAATGTCGAAACTTTATTTTGGAAAGCGTCTTTACTACCGTTGTTTCAACTGTGCAAGGAATATTATTTTATTACATTATTTGCACAATCTGTGTCGCTGTGCACGATGTGATATCATGTGCATTAATGTGTTATAAACCGGAATAAATAGGAGCGCGGAAAGTGATGAGCATACAAATGCATCGATTTGTACAAGTTGAGCCTCATACTGATGCCGTCATTAAGCACTGGGGCTGCCATGACAACCTGTTGTCTTAATTATAATCATTATTTGTAGTGAGTTTTTAGGCATTAACGCAAAATCCTTTTTTACGAAAACAGAATGAAACGTGCTATTTAAAAATATGAAAACGGAATCAATACCCCCCCCCCCCCATAATGTGTTGTGGTAGTCATTCGTTACAGGTGGGTTTTTTTAAGTATTGAATATTGTCTTCACTTGAGTACATTTGACAGCAATGCTGACCTTCACACGGTAAACTGAAAATACATGATTTTTTTTATTGTTTTATATATTTTTTATTTTATTGTTTCCCTTCTACGTGACTTTACCGAAAGAACTAAGAATATGAAAATACATGCTTCCCTTTTTTCTCTGAATCCGACTCAATGGCGCATCATCAGCCCGTGCTGTTCTTGGAACTTACATAATGCATAATCTATGTTTTTTTACATTTCTAGTACATTTGGTATACACGAAATGTGCATAATGTAATACATTTGAAATGTTAGAATGCATTACAATTGCCTTTCTATCACGTCTAAATGGAGTTGCATCTGAACACTTCACACACAAAAATGAAAGGTAACAGGTTAACAGGAATTGTACCAATACATCATTTACAAATGGGGTCTCCAGCATAATTGGTATCTTATTATCAATGATGTCAGTAAATATCTAAAAATTCAAACCAAATATATAATTATATCCACTTACAAGGCTCAATCCGTTGACGACAAGTGCGTAAGCGTTGAATGCACAATATCTAGCGACACTCATCAGTACATTCGTCACCACTCTTGTTTTAGTTTGTATTACATGTAGAAAATAACACCGTATTGTATTTCCATAACAGATGAACACCTAAATGTCATGTACAATGCCACATGGTTCTAAAATAAACCCACTGTTTTATAGTGGCCTTTTTTATATATTATCACACATTGGTTAATGTTCGCCTTTTGGTGTCCTCTGGTTTAACACCTTTTTGAGAGCTAGGCTCAAAAGAAAGCTGTCTCTGGTGTGGACCAATCAGTTTCAAAGACAATGCCGTATATTATCAGAGTATAAATCTTGACTTAAAGCTTTCGTGACTGCAGGAATTCATATTTTTTTGGGTCTTTTGGTAAAGTCACGTAGATTGAACAAATAATAAAATAAAATAATGACTATCATGACGTTTTGATCGCAACACAAGCAATCGTCCTCAGGTGAAAAATATAGTGGGAGAGCTGCTGAGAATATGTTATTCTTTTTATTTGTTCTATCTACGTAGCTTTACCGAAAACCCCAAAGGATATTATCAGTGTTTTTTGTTTGCATTCTGACCACAAGTATTGTGGTTAATGCAGACATATTTCCTTGTAAAAACACCTGTTTTTATTATTCTTAGCTCTTTCGGTAAAGTCACGTTGAAGGGAAACAATAAAAAAATATATATTAAACAATAAAAATTCTCACGACGTTTCTACCATAACACAAACGGTCATCATCAGGTGTGAAAACCAACGACAAGAAACATTATTTTATTGTTTCCCTTCAACGTGACTTTACCGAAAGAGCTAAAAATATGAATTACTGCAGTCACGAAAGCTTTAAATAAAAATTTAACACCTGTTTTGTTGCCAGAAAAAAGGGGTTAAACCTATTCTCATTGGTTAAACGTATTTAAAACATCGGTATATGCAAGGATAGCTACACAAAAGTAAACCACACCTTGAATTTAATCCAAATTCTACTTAAGTGACTTAATAACCTTGTGTTATCACAATTGATTAACTTCTTGTCATTTGAAGAATAAAGAGAAGGCTTAAAGTCATATTATGTAGCAACGAGTTTATACTTTTTAACTCGGAATTCATCTCGTCTAGCCTGAATCTTCCACATCACAATTATTGTTGAACAAACTTTAATCGTTCTTGCTAGCAATCCTAACGACAAATATTAAAATCCTATGTCGATAAACTTATAGCAAATATTTGTTTTTTGGTAGAAACGGGTGTGCACAATAAATCTAAAATTGTGGACTGGCATCCTGCTCACCTATTAAATGTTCCAGTTATTTCGGTTGCTCTTACATTTAATACTCTAGCAGCTTGCTTAAAGGTGTGTCTGAAAAAATTATACATTACTTATTGTCAGTATACGTGAAAACATTGTGTTCTGCTTACAATTTGGTCCTGCAGTGTTCATTTATCTAGATTTTTTATAGCTAGTGGTTAAACAAATGTTGGTTGTTACATCATCTACAAGGTTTGGAGAGGGAAAAAAAAGCCCACGCTATTTGGTCTGTATTCTCTGTGGCATGCAAAAATATTTTGGGTTTTTTTGTGTTCACTTTCTCGTTGGTTCAGCACTTGGAAATTCACTTGAGGCGTGACATTGACCGTTGCTCATTCCTCTTCATTCTGAGCCAATTGAAAGACCTGATACGTTGAAATGGTACTTGACCAAGATAGTGAACAATTCCTTACATTGTATCATTTTCTAAAGAGGCCTTGGTATAATGAGTTCTATTTCGACTTTATTAGCGTTCTTAAGGATACCACTCTTCAAAAAAATACTAAGCCACCAATCTTTCCCTTACCACCCCTGTCAAGCTGAATTATCTTTCATTTGTGATGGCCTTATTTCATCCCATAATTGCCACTGTTTTTCCTTGGTATTTTTCTCCCCACATTTTAAACCATTCAATATAGATTATTTATAGATTTTATTACTTAACGTTTCTGAAAACACATTCCAAACTTACTGATATTGGCACAGTTTGTAGATAATTACAATATTTAGTGTTCTGTGTTTTTTGTGACATGAGATTTCTCTCAGACATCTCATGCTATCTCCCATACTATTCTTGTGATGTGTTATGGCAAATTGCACCCGACACGTTGTTATAATGTGCCCCTGAATGGCACATTTATTCAAGACTCAGCAAGCGATGTCAGTTTAAATAAAATGTTCGGGCTTTTTATGTTTTGTAAACTCAGGAAGGAGTGTCAGTCAGGCCGGGTTTTACACCTGTGTACGTCACGGACATAGTAGAGGGATCGTTGCTTGTGTTTATTTACTTGAGAAATTTTAATTGGCGATGATGTTCGGGGTAGCCGCGGTAGGCATTCGCGTTTATTCTAAAAACGTGTTGAAGTTGTCAAGGATGCGTGGTTTTTTTTCAAAACTCGAAATGTTTCCTTACGGCAGTCTGCGACATGCTCCAGTCTCTGTTTTGGTAAACCCCATTGTGTGTCTCAGCACTACCAGACATCTACAAAACAAAAAACTTGCGCTTCCCCGGTGGCATTACCGCTGCAAACAGCGATGCCATGCTACGTCAGTTCTGCCAAGCCTCCCTGGGTGACTTAGGATTTCTGGATCCCATTGAACCATAAATGTCCTCAGCTCCTCCAACCACAAGGTAGTTGACAGTGTTCAAATAATCGGAATCGGTTCAAATGAGCGAATGGTAAAAAAAAGTACATCTTGTAGCCTGCAACCTTAAATTATCTTGCCTTCGGGGGCCTGCTAAGTGCACGAGGTTTGAGGGGGAGGGGGGGGGCCAATGTAGCAGCGTAAGACGTTGCGTTACAGCAACAACGCCACGTCCGTCGCGATGGCCGATTGCCCATTGCTTTCCTCACCACAATCGGCTCATGAGGTTGAGAGAGGCCCAACTTGGAACCAGCAGAGAGTGGAAGTTTAACCCCCCCCCCCCCCCCCCCCCAATCGTGTTTACTCAGTTGTCGATTAGACCTTGGACGATGGCCGTGGATTGTTTCATAAATGGGGAGAAGCGCAGATCCCAGGATTCTCCTCCAGGCTGCTTCAGGAGGGGGGTGGAGGCAGTGAACATATTCGCGTGTTTACGGGGTAGCAAATTAGTTTTTGCATTTCCCCACATTCAATTGGTTCCCATCTTCTCTACCCTTAATCACTACACTTATTTCCCCGTAAGCTGTAACCAAAAAGAGAGGTGTCGTGAGGGTGATGAGCATGCAAACAGCTGCCTATGATAACCAGGCCTGGCATAATTGGTCTAAAGCCCGATGTATAATTTCTACGACTGTAACGTGTACGCCGCTGTTTTTTGACCAGTCACAAACTGTGTAGACGCCATTGTGTACTGTGGCGGAATACATTGTTGCGTGCTCGTGTGCGCTTGTGTGTGCCTGAAGGACACGCATGCAGCAGTCGGCGATGTATCAATTGTGCGTGGAAATGAGGCAAGTCTCGGAGGACTTCATGAAGTTGCAAGTCACTTCAGAGGAGTTTCTGTGCATGAAAGCCATCTTGCTCCTGAGTACTGGTAAGTGATCCACTTGAGGGATGTATATTTTGTTTTACAACTGAATTGTGGAAGACGTCATTCAGCGCCCATTAGCAGGAAACATTGAATATGTTGCTGAGAAAATGCATTTCTTCTTGTTTTCAGTCGCGTAGAATTTTTTTTTGGATTGTATGTATGCTGAACTTCTTTAGCTTCTAATAGAGGTAGCATTTTGCCATAGAGCAGACCTCCTACGCCTTGAATGTGTGTAATTTATATATAGCTTCATCAATAACCACATGATTTGAAGTAGATTTTTGCATACACAATTCTAAGAAAAGCTAACATAAGGAGCAATATGCAAATAACACAGGATAATAAATAAAACTCTTGATTAAAACACGTTTTACTATTTCAGAGTAAAGTCTTTACTTTAATAATATATTTAATATAACTTAATTAATTGTAGCAAGAGTTGGAAGCTATTTGTCAATTAACAATGATTCACATTCAATGTCCTGTCATCACTTATTTTACCCCAGAGTAGAATTAATTCGTATTGAACTGCTTTACATATTTATAAAATCTTATATTGGTCTTCATCCCACTCTAGAGTAACTACCGAATACAAAAATGTTATGGTTAACATATCAATATAATCTCAAAAGTAAGATATACATCTGCCGCAGTCAAAGGCGTATTTTTTATACTCCTTAATTCGATGTCCAATTCATATCTGTTCACTTTATTTAATAATTGAAAATATTGACATATACTTATTTGTATTTTTTCAAACATGCTGTCAATGTGTGTCTGTAGTCACTGCACAGGTAGCGTAGCTTGCTGGTTTACACTATTACGAGGGCTTGGTATCACATGGGTGTGAATTTGATACAGCCTTGGATCACACGCCGAATCCTTTTCCCAAAAAGGATGGTAAATGTCATGCTTTCCATGGATCTTCGGCGAAGCCAATAACCCGTGAAGGTGATGAGGTGTGCGCTGGTTCGATTTCTTTTTTACTTTCAGATAACTTAAAAAAAACCAAGGCGCCACCTTCGGTGCTGATGGCCTTTTGCCGTTCGCAACGGTCGGCTCCTTTTCACAGTCACCACGGGATTGATACGATTTTTTTTTAGGCTTGTGAACAACTTGTTTTTCAGTAATTGGTAAAATAACAATGCTGGATTGCTTCACTAGATTTTTCGAAATGACCCATAAATACCGTCGGTTAGGAATGGTTAATGAAACGACCTATTTTCCTGAAGAGTCTTTTGAATCTGCTCATCTCCGTTGGTAGTACAGAGGTAGTGGTTGAAATTGATATACCAACGGTAGGGATCGTGAACTTGCGATGAACAAAACGAAGAAGTCGACAAACATTGTCTATCACGTTCAAAATAAATAATTGTGTTGCGCAGGTAGGTTGTACTCATTCAAATGCCTCAGTTCAGTTTATGCACGTTTCATTACATCGAAATTCACTACTTAAATCAGCTGACATTTTGCTTGTCCGACGTTTCTGTTTGATGTTTGAACATCTTAACACCTGTTTTATTGCCAGAAAGGGTAAAACCTATTCTTATTTTTCATACTATGATACTGCTAAAAAGATCCCATTTTTTCCAGCTAGTTTTTGGAATTTCAGCAGAAAGCATTCTAAGCTTACTAATCGTATAATCTTTAAAAGTGAAATTGCATCCCAATTAGATTTAAAAATATACATATATGATTTTGTTTCTATAATATTTGAAGCAAAGAGCTGTGGTGTGCCAAAACCACTTAATGTCAGAAAATAAACCATTGAATTTGCTCAAGGCATTTCATTCAGTTAGTTAAACCGCATCGCCGTTTTAATGCAGAAGAAAAATGAAACGCCCATTCTTGATACCTTCTTGTAAGATGTAAATTGCTCGAATGCAACAGTGTATCCGTCTGATTTGGCACCAGCATTACCATAATAAAGTGTATAAAAAAAATAAATCTGAGATATGGCCAAGGAGAGGGTGACCTTGTTATTTATAGTCTGGAATGAAAAGGGGCGGGCGGGGAGGGGGGAGAGTGGCAAATTAGGGAGTGCAAGAGGTGCCGGCGCCTGGCCAGCTGGCAGTGGCCACCCACGCACAGGGAATGAATCCAACAAAGGTGGTGTACAGATACCTCAAGGCCCCCAAAAAAACAAGTTGCGAGGTTCCTCAAAAAACCCGTACGTAAAGGCGACATTCAACGCAGAACTGCTTTACATGCACTCATGCACGGTCATGCTTTTCCAACAAGAATAGGGTTGTCGGGGTATAGAGAGGATATGGAATGCATTGTCGTCGGCCGTGGTAAATCCACTCAGTGCATCATTGGGCCAAAATAAATGATGCACTTTTCAGTCTTGGCATTTGTCAAAGCGTAAATAAAAAAAAGCCGATAGTTGTCAGCAAAAGGTAGCTGTGAAAAGTTTTGGAGGAAATATTTTTACAAAGACTGAATGGGAAAGAATTCTTAATTTTAACTTCAATCGGCTTTGTTAAAAATCTTTATGCATTTGTTTTGAACAAAGCAAGGTTTCTTTTGATTTACAATACTATGAGCTTGAAGTGGATTTACCAGCGGAATCAAGAGACCAAGGGGCCATGCCTAAGATGTGGACTTCCCGGACTTTCTGGCTGACTTTCTGGGCTAGACAGTGAAGGAATTTAATGGGGATAAGCCTCAAGCTACCTTTTTTGGATGTCCTAATAAAAAAGAAACCTGATGGTTCAATGAGCCACTGTCTACAGGAAAGCTACCCATACGGATGCTTACCTGAAACCGGATTCCCACCACCATCCATCCCAGAAGAATTCCCTCATCAAGATTCTGCACCATAGAGCCCATTGCATATCCGACCAGGAACACACAGCCAGTGAACTCAAGCACGTACACCAAGCTGTTAAGGCTAATGGTTACTCCGACTACACAATCCGCAAAGCTATCACTCCAACCATGAAGAAGGACCCTCTTGAGGAGCCTTTCAAAACCATCACTTTACCCTACATTGTGGGGATCACAAAAAAGATCTCCAAAATCTTGAATAAACACAAGATCCAGGTCCGATTCAACACATTACATAAAAAATCCGTGATCTGGTTCCTTCTGTAAAAGATGTGATTCCGGACATACAGTACCCTGGCGTCTACAAACTAAGTTGCCTCTGTGGTAGTAGTTACATTGGAGAAACCAAACGGCATGTCTCAGACCGCATTCGTGAACACAAAGCAGACCTAAAACACGGTAGGACCAACACCTCGGCCGTGGCAGATCACTGTTATAATGCAGTAGGCTCACATGACATTGACTTCTCCAAGACAGAGGTTCTTTGCACGCCATCTGGCTACCATGAGAGATTCGTTCATGAGGCTATCCACATATACAAGCACAGAGACAATTTCAACCGAGAAGATGGATTCTGGCTCATTGGAAGGATTTGATAAACCATTTCAGGTCTTAATTGATTGTTCACGCTTATGGTGGCTTTCAGACCGCATCCATTATTTTCGTCTCCCCCCTCCTCTTTTTCGAACATAGATGGACTCGTCCATCTGAATAACTGGCAAATCGCTCTTCGTGGTGCTAACGTAAAAAAAAACACCACTTTAAAAAAAATGCTGTGGTTTTCACACCTGATGATGATTGCTTGTGTTGCAGTCGAAACGTCGTGAGAATTGTATTGCTTTATATTTTTATTATTTTATTGTTTCCCTTCTACGTGACTTTACCGAAAGAACCAAGACTATGAATCCCTGCAGTCACGAAAGCTTTAAATCAAAATTTAAGCCTCATTCTCTCACTTAGTAAATTCAACGGTCTGAGGGAATGTCTTCTCTATGTGATCATCTAATATAATCCCCCGTGAGCAATGTGTATAATCGCTACAATCTGCAGCCATACATTGACGATGACTTTCTATATGTAGGCATTATGAGGGGGTTGTAGACACACCATATATTGGAGTACCTCATTTGTAAAAGCTTATGGAAGCAAACCTCCACATACAATCATGTACAAATATATAAAAAAAACATCAATCGGCCTTTGTTCTTTCCAAGCAAGCAACTTTGGACCAGTTTCAACCTTGCGGTTCTCATCAGCACAGTCAATCAAAGCTTGTTTAACAAATGCTTGTCCTCCAGACAGTCTCGTCCCTTCACCTGATGAAGGCCGCTTGTGTTGTGGCCGAAACGTCGTGAGAATTTTATTGTGTTATTTTATTTTATCAATTTATTATTTTATTCTCATTCTACGTGACTTTACCGAAAGAACCAAAGAAAATGCTTGTTGTAAAGATGTATGTTCGGTATATAGAGAGTGACCTCGTTCTTTAAGGTCAATATACGTTTCTGAAGCGGTTCAAAAACAAATATGTGCTGGTTTTATTCTATTAACACTCGCCACAAAGCAGTAATTGGTTACACAATTGCCAGCGTCTATTCCTATAAGTTATATGCAAAGGCTATGACGAAATGTATGAGCTCACTAATGTTTATCAGCTCGGTTAACGTGAAGAGTCAGTGGCCTGTAATAATATGAAGGGAAAATGGCAAATTGTTCAAGAGCCTGATCCCTTCAGAATTAATGCGTATAGACTAAGACAATGGTCAAGCAAAATCAGTAATTGAGCGTAAAATGTGGACTCATGGAGTGCAGTAAAATGCTAAACATGTGAGGTTTAGATATGCAGTAAGCTTGTTGGATAATTCGAAACACATGTGCCTGAGGGAAACAGACCATGTGAACATTCAAATTGCAAAAAGAAAGCCTCTGTGATCCCTTGTAACTGCTGATTGGTGATAGGGATGGTATTTTACCTTCCAATGTTTTGTCAAATACGAGAGGAAATGGTTAATAATACATGATCGTGTTTACATAAATTCATATTGTGGGATTGGACCGTATGTGCTACGACATTGGAGATCGGCCCATATGTTTGGAGTGAATATCACATTAGCGTGTAAAAAAAGCAAGTAGCCTTTGTACATTATGCAAAAACCATCGGCATTGCATTGTGG